GAAAATGGGGGTTTGGGGGGGGGGACGAGCTTGAGTGACTTCCGGTTTGTCCGGAAATGGCGGGAGGAAGAGGGTTGACGTTTTGAGGGCCGCGCCGGCCGGCGCGCTACGCGCTCTCCTCTCTGCTAGAACAAGAAAATTATATAATCTGCCACTGTCCGCTCTGCTGCTGCCGACTCGTCTCCATAACGGCCCCCTATAAACAGCCTCCAGCGACCTCCAGCAGCCTGCAGCGGCCGATCAGAGCGATTTAAAGCGGCCAATTACAAAGACAGACATATCTAATTAATTCGCGGAGCTCAGGCAAAGAGAGATAATAAAGAGTGAGCATTCGGCAGAGACAGCTGCCAGTGAAAAACAAACTCTGTCCTCACTCTCGCTCTACGAAACGATGTTTCACATTTTTGTCGAGTTTGATGGAAAATAAAGACCTATGTTCCTTTCCGCTTCGGGTCGCCGTGGCTCCTGGCATCTCTGGCATCCACCGAATGGAGAATTTCGACGTTCGCCTCTCGAACGCTGATCAGTGGGAGTGCCGCAAGGGGGAAAAAAAGGGATGAGAGCTCTTTTGCCTTTGGAAGCACCTCGCACATGTGGGTCGCATTCGTGGAGAGAGAAAGAGGGAGGGGAGGGATGGGGTAGACGTGCTATGGTGGTGGCACTTTGTACACTGGGAAAAATATCCTTTTCAATCAACGATTTGAAAGCGATTTTATTATGAATTGACGATCGCAGTTGATATGTCTTCGGTTTGCATCATTATGAATCGTATCCGCCATCAATGTGAGATGAGTCAATCGTCACAGCCTCGGCAGGCACGACCGTCACGACCGAAAGACGACTTTTCATCGGGCTGTTGGTGGCGGTGCTCGGCGCGCCTGTCGGATAGCGGTGCCACCGGGGAATGACAAGTCACGTCTCACTCCCCACTCCCCGCTGCGCTCCTAAATCGAAAACAATAGGTGCAAAAAAAGAGAGGAAAGGGGGGGAAAAAGTGGGAAAAAAAGGGAGAGAAAAAAACGAAAATACATGCGAAAGAATAAACGAATCTGGTGTCGAGACGTGACACAACCGATTCAGTTTAGGGCATCCCTCTGCCCCCATAGCACGGCACAGAGAGCGAGCGAGCGAAAGAGAGAGAGAGAGAGAGAGAG